TTTTTCTCTGTCTCGATAAAAGCTAGCTGTTGTGCCTTTTGATAACAAGTTTTTCTTCTTCAACACTGATGCTAGGTGTTCTGCACAATCCTTCGGCAATTTTAAATCTCTAATGAGATTGCTAAGTTCTTCTTGGTTAAACGTTTGTCGAATCTTTATCTCCTGTTCATCATACGGAAGGTAATAGTCGTCCTCATCATCGGTTCTCATGTCTTTATTTTCAAAATCTAGAACATCTTCAGTTGAACTGTCAATTTCCAAGGTTTTGGGAGAAGAAGGTGGATTGCATGAAATTTCTGGTTTTTTTACAGTGAGGACATTAGCATACAATATGTTCTTTTTATTTTTGTTATTATATCCTTGCACATTGGTGTTGCAAAAATAACAATCTTTTTGATTTAATGGTTTTTCCCATAAAGTTGGCTTTATAAACTTTAGTTTATCCTCTTTTTTATGATTCCAACGAGTTAACATTGTGTAACAGGAACTGCAAATTTTGTGTGGAACAAAATTTTTATCCTGATTGGTTATCTCAAGATCAAAATAATCTTTGTAGATCTGTTTGATATTTTCATTTATTGATTTACGATTTTTGGGGACATCGAATTGTCCACATATGTAACAAAATGCATCTGCATTGCTGTCGCATAAGTGTTCCGACGTTGTTACTGCAAAATTAAGTTTTGAAGCCTTTAGAGTTTTATTATTGTTTTGATTTTGAGAAGCCACGATTTATGTGAAAACCTGCACGTTAGGGATCCTGGACCGATCGCAGGTGAGTCCGCTGTCCTAGGGGTGATAACCCTCATACCTCCCCAGGCCTAAGTATGAGAGCTTTCCGACTTTGACGAGGACAAAGACAACTCGTCGTCGGATACACTACGGCATCATCCTCACACTCTAACGTCCCCCTGCAGGGCAGCGCGCCTACGCTGGCTTCGTTACTTCGATAAACAGGAAGCGAATCATTCTACACATCCCCTTTCGGGGCAGTTGTCATCGCCTACTACATTTATCGAAGCAGCAGGATTAGTATTGTGCTGAAACACAATAAAAGTGCAAAGCGTACAAGGTAAACAATGTATTTTTAAGGAATAAGATAGTGAAGGATAGAGGATATTAAAGTTCCTTTTTATCTCGTTGCTTAAAAATTTATTATTTAACTTTTACATCTTATTTTCACATTATTACCTCAATGAAAAAAGTTTTGTTCATTTGCCGAATTGATCTCTATGATGCAATGAGACCCAACTGTCAGTTCTTGAGAGTAGTTCATTACAAAACAAAAAATTACAGTTCCCGCTACAAAACACTCTACCAAAAAATCTTTCGGAGCAGCCACACGGAAAAAATTTCTGTGCACTGTTTATCTCTGTATGTGCACCAATGGTCCTTAATTACAGTACAAATCTTACACTTTGAAAAGGGATCATATACGGCCCTTTTTAGAGACAGCAAACGCACTTCCATCGAACAACCTCTGCATCAACTGCACTGGAAGTGAGACAAGCGGTGCACGGACATTTTTTCCGTGCAGGGGGTTCAAAATGTGAAAGTCTGACTATAGATTCCTAATGAGTGACCCAAAAAACCCCTAGATACCAACTTCGAAGTAAATCCATTAATAGTTAAAAAATTCGTCCCCAAAATTGGAGCCAACATTTTAAATTTTAAAAATCTAACTTCAAATTCGTAATCAGCGACCCAAAAAACCCCTAGATACCAAGTTTGAAGCAAATCTATTAATTTTTAAAAAATTCGTACGCCATATTGGATCCGACATTTTGAATTTTGAAAATCTAACTTCAAATTCGTCATCAGCGACCCAAAAAACCCCTAGTTACCAAGTTTGAAGTAAATCCATTAACTTTTAAAAAATTCGTCCGCCATATTGGATCCGCCATTTTGAATTTTGAAAATCTAACTTCAAATTTGTCATCAGCGACCCAAAAAACCCCTAGTTACCAAGTTTGAAGTAAATCCATTAATTTAAGAAAAAATAGCCTACCTCTCAAAATCCGACAGATTTTTTGAGGTTAGAAAAAAATCCTGACGTGATGGAGCAAAACGGACTTCGGATTCGTGTTCAGCGCGTCAAAATACATAGGAAATGACTAGTCTGGTCTGCCGCGCACGACACTTTTTTTTGTGGGGCTGTGTTATTATATCGAATTGGTTTTTTGCTAATACGTCCCGATCTCGTGATTACAATTTCGTCTTTGTCACATTCATTCTGAGAGTTGTCATTCATCACACATTCAACATTCTTATTTCTATCAGTCTTATTTTGTTTTTCATTTCGTTTCTCTCGAAGGTCGTTTACAGTTTCTTTACTTGTTACCTCTAACGGGTAAATTCTCTGAATGGCTCTCTTTAATATACCTTTTTTTGATTTCAGTACGAACACTCTACATTCATTATCTCGACCCACAATAGAATCTACTACGAGTGCAAGAGGCCAGTCAATGCGCTTCAAATTATCGTCTCCGATCAAAACAACGTCTCCGATATTTATTTTACGTGTTTCTTTTTTCGAATTTTTGAAAGTTAGTTGGCCCAGATACTCGGAACGAAATCTCGCACTGAGATCATTGAAAATCTTTTGTCTATATTTTAATTTTTTATTCAATTTCTCGGTATACAACATGTCCAAATCTGGAACCCCTATTTCGCGAATTTCTTGCAGAAACATGGATGGTGTCAAAGGCTTGAGGTCGTCAGGATCTTCAGAGACGTAGGTCAAAGGTCGTGAATTAACTATGGCTTCCGCATCACAAAGTGTCGTTATCATACTTTCGTATGTGAGGCTTGCCCTACCTAAAATTTTTCTAAGGATTGTCTTTAACACGCCTATGAGCCTCTCCCACCATCTCCCCCACCAGGGCGCTGACGGTGGGTTAAACACCCAATTTATTTCCATGGTCGACGTTCTTTTAGCTATGATTTCCCAATTTAATCTCTTCAACGCATTGGCTAAACCTTTACAATTTGTCCCATTATCACTGTGCATGTATTTTGGTCTCCCACGTCTGGCAATAAACCTGCGAAAACAATCCATAAACTCGTCTGTAGATAACGAAGAAGCTAGTTCAAAATGTACCGCCCTATACACGGCACACGTGAAAATTACTATCCACGCCTTTTCCTTTTTATTTGTCTCTGACAAATAACGCACTTTAAAATGACCGATTTTACTATTCTTCGCGCTGATATTATCCAAAATTTTTCACGTAAACTACTCATGACCGTAAGACTTCCTGCATGACCTAATTTCTCGTGTGTTTCTCGCACCAATAAAATTATAACGTCATGTTTATTATCTAATACTACCGGACAGAGAAAATTCAAATTGACTTTGCGGTTGAAAATTTTCGTTTTCACAACAATTAAACCATTTTCATTTACCGTTGTTTTTAATGAAGACAATTTATTCGCTGATTTTAAATCGAACATAACTTTTTGCAAATTTTGCATTAAACGTATTTCGGCAATTTCTATTTCTTTTGACGTTAATTGATTTTCTTGATCTTGTTTATCTATCGACTGATATTTGTCCGTAGTTTTTCGTGATTGAATTCGCGTTCTGCAATTTCTAACGAATCTTAAAGCCAAAGCAATAAAACGCAACAACTTAGTGTAGGAAGAAAACCGAGCACTAATATCGAGTTGAATTTCTTCCTTGTTTACCATTTGAACCACTATTGTTTTCTTTTTCTCTTTTTCGACCTCATTCTCGTTAATTTTACAACCCGAAACCGGCCATTCCTCTTGCTGCGCGTATAACCATTTCGACTCTAACAATTGCGAGGGAGTGCAACCGCGAGACGGAAGATCTGCTGGGTTGAATTCTCCGGGCACATGCTGCCAATCTTCAATCCTAGAAAGCGCTCTAATTTCCTTGACTCTATTATGGACAAACGTGCCCCATTGTATATCGCGACCAATCCACGCTAAAACCGTCGATGAATCCGTCCAATACGTGATTTTATTTACCTCGCGAGTCATAGATTTCAGGGTCGCATCTGTCAACCTAACGCCGATTGTCGCTGCCATTAATTCCAGTCGAGGAATAGTCGCTCCTTTCGGAGCTATGCGAGATCTAGCGCTCATCAATTGTACGTTAATTACTCCAAGATAATCCGCTCTTACGAAAACTGTCGCAGCATACGCTACTCCACTAGCGTCACTAAACATATGTAAAGTTAAAACTCCCTTTCCAATTTTGCGCGGTATTTCCACGTTTTTTAACAATTTTAAATTTTCTAACCACGACAAAAATATTTCCCCCCGCTTATCTTTAATTACTGTATCCCACTCGACTTTCTCGGACCACAGTTCTTGTAGCAACAATTTTGGTAGCAAGGTTACTGGAGCGGAAAAGCCTATAGGATCGAAAACTCGATGAGCAGCTGACAACATTGTTCTTTTCGAGACTTTATCTGGTTTCTCTATATTTAAAATCGCGGGATTAATTGACATCACATCTTTTCGCTTATTCCATAAAAGCCCCAACACTAACGTTGTCTCGCTCTCCGTACAGTCTCCCGTGTACTCCCACCCACGCAAATCAAAACTCCCTGTAGCCATAATCGCTTTTGCTTCATGTTCAAATTTTTCTCTTTCCGATATTGTTTCCACGCTTGTGACACAGTTGTCGACATAAAAAGAATCTCTTAATTTTTCCACCGAATTTACCGACCAGGCCGTACTAATTTCTGACTTCGACTTTTCTATTGCTCTTATCAAAATTAATTCGATAACAGCTGCAAATAAGAAGGGGCTACACGCCAACCCGAAAACGACTCGACGATGACGAAATATCTTTATCTGTCCCCCATCTAACCATAAAAAGTGAAGATAGTCCCGATCCAATTCATTGATACCAATTTGCAAAAAGGCCTTTTTTACATCTGACACTACACCGATTTCGTACTCGCGAAAACGATTAAGTGCTGAAGGAACCAATTCAATTAAATTCGGGCCTTTTTCCAAGCACTGATTCAACGAAGGACTTCCTTTTTTACACGATGACGCGTCAAAACTGGTCTTATCGTTGTTGAACCATGTGCTTTAATAACTGGCCTATGTGGTAAATAGTGATTCGCCTCCTTCTTCTCTGTTTTCGAGACTTCCTCAATAATACCTTCCGACAACCATTCCTTAAAAATATTACCATAAGCTTCGAACAATTTTTCAGATTTTAATTTCTCTATGGTTTTTATTAAACGATTGCGTGAAATTTCGTAATTACTCGAGACAACACTATGATTATCTTTAAATGGTAGCCTGACTTCGTACCGACCATCTGCTGTCAACTTTGCTGTACTCATAATTAAATCTTGAGTCTTTTTATCGCGAACCATTTTTTCCGTTTTCTCGATTGGATCGGTAATTCCAATCACATCTAATTGCCAAAGATCGGATAAGCTAGCCTCTTGCACGATCATTGTAGTTACCAAAATCGCAGCATCCTTTCTCATTGATGGACCAGGGAGCTTCCCCAATATTGTCCACCCTAGATTCGTTTCAAACGCCACTAAACCGTTTTCTAAATCGTGTTTTCTCCCCGTAAAAAGTTTACCTGCAACATCCTCCCCGATAAGAATATCAATAGGTTTATTTTCATCCCCAATATCAGACAAACTTATATTATTTTTTCGCAAATGTTGCACCCACTCTTCACTTCTTACTCCCGGTATCGAATCACAAATTGTGTTTTGATCCATTACAGAAAAATTACACGCGTAAGAATTATCAATACTTTTCATATGAATTAAATAAACATCGTGGCTTTCACATTTCGATTTTATTCCCCCGAACAATGAATGAATTATTTCTTGTTTACCCTTTATTTCGTAACCCAATTCTTTCGCAATACATGTTCTAATATAAGAACGTTGAGAAGCTGAATCGATTAAAACTCTAACAACTTTTTCCCTTGATTGTGAATACAGCTTGACTTTCAACGTTTGTAAATAAACCTCGGGTGAGTCACAAAAATTCGTCAAGTTATGTTCTTTTACAATTTTATTCTTATCGCCCGAGTTATTTTCCGTAGAATCTTTAGAAAGAAAACTTGGACACATCAAAAGAACGTGTCTACATGAACACCATTCACATTTAATTCTTATTCTACACGTTCTTGAAATGTGTCCCTTCTTCAAACAATAAAAACATGCGTTCTCCTTTTTTACTATTTCCCGTTTCTTATTTAAATCAAGCTTACGCGCCATCTCACAATCTCGACTCTCATGAGACAATGTACAAAATATACAAGTTACCGTTCTTTCAATATTTTTAGTAACAAGAGTATGCGCGGTAGGAATATCTCGAATATGATCTACTTTACCTTTATGTTTTTTCGCCTTCTCTTGATCTGCCGAAACACCAAAACCTGAAAGCGCCATCTCGATCCGTTCTTCGTTTTCCACTTCTCGTTGTAAAAATTCCAATAATCTCGATAATCTATCCTTGTGTTCCTCAGGATTTCTATGATCACCACCTTCCCGTACTCCATTCCGCTGCCATACACGAAGCAATAGGGATGACTCCACAAGAGGGTACAGCATTGCCGTACATTTATCGGTCGTCACTCCAAGTGTCTCCAAAGCACGAATATTAGATTCTAATTTGTCGTAAATTATTAAAATTGACGAATTCTTATCGTGCTTTGAAGCGTTTTGTAACACTAAACCAAGTAACTCCCGCACATAAAATTCCACTACGACGTCATCACGACCAAATCGATTTTTTAAACTTTTGATCGCCTTGTCGTAATTTTCCGCCGTCGAAGGGAAACTGCTAATTAAATCACTTGCACGAGAACCTGGTATTGCTGCCTGAAGTAAATATTGGAATTTATCCTCCTTATAAATAGAGTCGTCACTGTGGATTTTGTTGAACTGCGTCCAAAATGGCAGCCAGTCTTTTATATGTCCGTTGAATTTCGGTAACTCGATTTTAGTCGGATTCAAAGTTTTCTGAACAGCTACGGCAGGCGAAACAAACGTAGGTTGCTGAAATTGCACCGCCTGTGTCGTCAATGTAGAAACTTTCATTTTTGCTGATAGAAATTGTTTCTTATAAGTATCATTAGTCTCTAATTCTCTAGTTATTTCTTCCTCGTCTTCCACCTCTTCAAAAAGCTGTTGCGTAAAATTGAAATGAATTGCGTCCAAGTCCGTCATTTTGCTCTCCAACATCTGAAAAGCAACTAATTTCTCTTCTTTCGTACCCTCGCCATCAAATTCCGTTATAAATGAATTAAAACTCCTGGTAAAAAGAGCTCTTTGGGTTCTCCTTTGCCTCTTAAGAGTATCCATCTTGCTTTTCGTACACGGAACACTTCACACCTCGTGGCCCGCTTTAAACACAACACTTTTTCCAAAAATGCACTCACGACAGTCCTGTCACGGTCGCCAAATGTTAATTTTGACTGAAGTGAGCAAATAAGGTAGAGGAAGACAAAGGGAACAGAATTGAGACACCAATTAAAAATGAAAAGTCTCACTTAGTTCTCATTCATTCGTCACGAATCAAGACATTCAGCCCTATCTGTGTTCGACGCTGGGAACTTGATAGCCATAACAGTGATTACATAAGTAGAAATCATACTATTTCTAGATCTGCCTACATTAAATACAATATTGCTGTAAGAGATAAAGAATTTAATCAAATAGGTGGTTGAGAATTATGTAAAAATAGAAAAAGATAGATTAAGATTTTGTGCAAATAATCAAGCTCAAGTGAGAAGTGAAAGATATAAAGGACTGATGGATTAATTACACAATCATGTGTTGGAAAATGATGTACACGTGTGAAAAACGATTATATTGCCTTCCACTTTTATTTGATCACCTCGAAATATGATGCAACAATATCAGGATTCGATGGCTATTGTTGCTCGTCATGGTAGACCAGATTTATTTATCATAATGACGTGTAATCCAAATTGGAAAGAGATACAGGAAAATTTATTCCCCTATCAAACTGCTGCTGATAGACCTGATATAGTAACTAGGGTTTTCACATTAAAAGTAAAACATCTACTTAAACTTATTGTTAATAATAAATTATTTGGAGAAGTCAAATCTTATGTTTATGTTATTGAATTTCAAAAGCAAGGATTGCCACACATTCATTTGTTAGTTATATTGAAAGAAAATTCTAAAATATTAACAGTTGAAAGTGTTGATCGTTATATTTCTGCAGAAATTCCTGATGAAAATATCAATCCTATTTTACATAAAATAATAATGCAAAAATAATATTCACGGACCTTGTGGAGATTGGTGTTTAATTGATGGGAAATGTTCAAAAAATTTCCAAAAATTTACCAAGAAGAAACTACAATTGAAGAAAATTGCTATGTTCATTGTCGTCGAAGAAATAATAATAAAGCGTATAAACGACAAAATGGATTTATTGTTGATAATTCTAATGTTGTTCCGTATTGTCCTAAACTTTCAGAAATATTTAATTTCCAGATTAATGTAGAAATAGTTTTGAGTATTAAGTCTGTTAAATATTTATATAAATATATTCTCAAAGGGCATGATGCGTTAATCGCTTACCCATTTCGATTTAAATAAAAATACAAAACTTCTGGATTATTTTAAACTTAACCAACGAGATAGTAATGCTCAAAAGTATTATTATTCAGATATACCAGAGCATTATACATGGGTAAAAAAATCTCTGGAATTGAAACAACGAATTCGTAAAGAAAAAGTATTGGGAAGAATGTATTCAGTTAATGCACATCAATTGGAGTTATTTTATTTTAGATTATTGTTGCTTACAGTAATAGGATCAACTTCTTTTGAAAGTTTGAGAACTGTTAATGGAGTTGTTTATGAATCTTTCACAACTGCTTGTTTGGCATTAGGACTTGTCGAAGATGATAGTGAGTGGATTAGGACAATGGAAGAAGCTGCATTATGGATGATGCCTCATTTACTTCGTCAATTATTCACAAGAATTTTAATTCAATGTCATCCTGTACATCCGGATAAACTATATATGCGAACAATTTAAGGGTTAAATGTCAGAAGATTATTAAAAAGTAAACGGCATTGAAGCTGAACAAAGGGCTTATAGAAATATTAAAACAATGTTATTTAACGAAGGATATAATTTAACTGACTTTCAGGGGTTATTAGATATACAAGATGAAATTTTTACTGAACAAGTAAATGATATAAATATTGCAGAACATATTAACATAGGAGAACTGAGTTATGCTAAATTAAATGCAAAACAAAAACTTGTAATTGATTATGTACTTGATGCCCTGAAGGATTCTTCTTTTGATGGTTCTAAGTGCTTATATGTTAATGGTTTTGGAGGATCTGGAAAAACATTTTTATACATTATGCTATGGCATTTGTTAAGAAGTAAAGAAATAAATGTTTGCAACATGGCATTTACAGGTATAGTTGCGATTCTGCTTTCTAATGGAAAAACTGTTCATAAAGTTTTTGGCTTACCCGTTCCATTATACAGTGATTCATCTTCAAACATTAAAGTTTAATCTAAAGAAGGCCTCTTTTTAAAAAATATAGATGTTTTTATTTGGGATGAAGCACCAATGGCTCCAAAATATGCTTTAGAAATGATGGATTATCTATTAAGAGATATAATGAATTCCAACGAACCTTTTGGTGGTAAAATTGTAATTCTAGGCGGAGATTTTCGACAAACTTTACCAATTAAAGAATATGAGAGCTTTACCACAAGAAACGGAAATTGTAGATTTTTTACTTAAAGTTGGCAATGGTGAATTAAATGATGCAGATGATAATGTTATATTACTAGAACATATTATTCAAAAATGGAATAGGTATACAAAATTTAAAACAAAATTTTATCCTTTAAAGACAATTTAAGTATAAAAAATTTAAAACAAACTTTAATCCTTTAAAGATAAAATGTTTTTAATAGTTATGTCGTTAGGGGCCGTCCATAAACCACGTGGACAATTTTTCACCAATTTTTGACCCCCCCCCCGCCCCCCGTTGTGGACAGTCGTGGACATTTGTCAAACCCCCTCCCCCCTATACAATTGTCCACGTGGATATTGCAAATTAAAAAAATAAGTTTTTTTTACTCCTGTATGTTAAAAAATAAAAAAGATTATTTTTGAACATATTTCAAAGCAAGAATGTCAGTAAAGTAAGGGAAATGTCAGGAAAAAATTTTGTCGGGGAAATTAAGAAAATTGTGACTTTTTTCGACTCATTTAAAATAATTGCGACAAAATACCACAATTTTCAGTAAAAAAAAAGTACAAGTTATTTTGATTTTTATAATGTGAAAAATAACTATAATCAGGGTGGACGCTGGACCGGGAAACCGGGAAAACCGGGAAATGACAATGAATTTTGAACTTGACCGGGATTTTGGATTTTTTTTTAAAAACACACATTATTTTGTGAGAAAAAATAAAAATATTTATTTCAAGACTTAGGTATTAACTATATTTCATTAAAAAAGATTGAACGATCTTCTATAAAATCTATTTATATTTTGTCAGAGAATTTTATAAAAAGTACCTACTATAAAAATATTCAATTTCTAGAATTTATAAGAAAATTATGAATTTTGCTGTCCAACGTAACAGATTTAGAAAAAGAAAATATTAAATTTAATTTTAAATTCTTTCTATTTCTAACAATAATTAAACAAAATATAATTTTAATTAAACTTGTCAAAAAAATTTCAATGAGAAAAAATTTCACATCCTATAGAATAGTGAAAAATAAATCAATTTAAAAATTTTTTTGCAATAATATTATAACAAAACAAATAAGAATTATTAAAAATTTGAACTAATTAGAACAAAAGTGATACGAAATTTATAAAAATTAATTTTAGAATAAGAAATAATGTATATAAAAATAAATAAAATTTCTTTTTTTAGAAAATAAATTTTTAAAAAATCGTATTTTGCATTACTATCAATTAGTTTTTTTTGCAATTATTGATAAGCAAACTTTTCTATATTTTAGAATGTTAAATTAATAATTATTATAGATTGAATTTTAAAAAATTTCAAATTTAAGTTTTAGAAAAGTTGAATTTTAAAAGATTTTAATTAAAAATTCTGAATAAGTCAGTTTTTAAAAATATTTTTATTCACATTTTTTTCAAATTAGTTATGTTTTTAAATATGTACCTAATATTTAATTGAAAAATTTTTAAATTATTCAAAATTTCATGAAATTGTCTTGTAAACAAGTGGATTTTAGAAATATTTTAGTTATTTCTAGAATATAATTGAATTGAAATTTTGAAAATAATTGTTAATAAGTTACAGTAGCAATTCTTAAAAATTATTCAAATTTAAAGGATTTAAAATTTGAATTTTTTTTAAATTTGAATACCTACCTACTATATGGAAAAATAATGGATAATAATTAAATATTTATTTCAAAAAATCTATTTAAGTTCAAAATTATTTTTAGAGTAAACTAAAATATTTTTAGGTTTTAGAAAAAAGTCAAAGTTTTGTCTAAAAATCAGGAAATTCTTTCAATCTTTCATGGAATAATTTATTTTCAGAGTTATTATTTATGACCGGGAAAAATAATTTATGACCGGAAAATGACCGTGAATTTTTTTTTACAAAAAAATGGCCACCCTGTATAAACAAATCTTTTTGAATAGTTGAAATTTTGTAAAATTTAATTGAAAATAATTAATTTATTTTAAGTCTTTCATTACAATTTTTGTAGAATAAAAAATCTTTAAAGGTAAATTTAAAAATGAAAATTAATGAAAATTAGCTTCTAATTTTTTAAAATTCAATATTCTCAATTACATATTTTCAAAAATTCAAATATATACAAAAAATAACATTTTAAAATTATTTTTAACATTTTAGAGGAAACAATCATGTTAAAAATTTTTAATTAAAATTTATCAATCAAATTCAAAAATAATTTTAAAATATAACAGAATTTTAGAAGAACTTTCAGAAAATTATTTAAATTAATTGATTCAAAGACGAAGGTTTAGTTGCCCAGTAAAAAAAAGTATTGGAAGAGAGCGAATAGTATTGGCGGTGAGTTTCTGCCAATATGTTTTCGCGTGAAAACCGTATTGGCAGAAACTCACCGACAATACTATTCGCTCTCTTCCAATACTTTTTTATTACTGGGTGGAAATTGTAGAAAATAATTGAATTCAGGAAGGGTTATAATTGTCATTTTAAAAAATAATTAAAATCATAAATGTTACTCATTTTCCGTAAACATTCATATTTTCCTGTAAAAAGAATTTTGTCAGGGAAATTAATTTTAATATCAGTAAATTGTCAGGG